AGATGAGTATTCTCCCTTGGATTACAACTTGTTTCTTCTTCAATTAAAATCCACTGTAATAGACCTCTTTCAATTTGTACCATGAAATACGATGTTATGATCCTTTATTGGTACGTAGGCATAAGACTTTGTGTCTTTCCAAACACAAAAAACAATTAAAAAAACATTTCTCTTCCCATCACCTCAATCAAACCCAATTAGCAAACAAACAAATAACACAATTTAACAAGAGGTTCATATAGAATACTATAGATAATTAGGATGTTAATACCTTCCTTTAGTATAACCAACCCTCGAACCTTATATTTTCTTTATTGCATTGCATGATTATGGGTTTATTCGTTCTTTTTCCCTTCCCTTGGATAAATTAAAGACTGATACTGATATCTATGTTTTGTGAAGCCTAGTTAACTTAATAGATATGGTCTCCGATTCTCACTGCGACATAATCCATTGTCATATGTTTGAATAATATAAGGAAGATCAATAATATTAGTTAATAAAGTGTTATGATGAAGATGTATGAATAATATAAAAATAATACAAAAGATGTCTAAATAGGCCCCCGACTGGCTATGTGTGTAGCTCGATCTAATCCAGTATAAACCTCATCATCTGGGTTTACCAAACCCATGAGGTTATCCATAAAAACTACAATCATCTAAAGGCATTGTTGGTCATTAGGGTTATTTGCTGGAAGAGGAGAAGATGACACGTCATCAACAGTTGCCTCATCACCAAAAGGCCTAGTATCAGCTGCATGTGGTGTTATGTAAGAGTGTGATACAATGAGGTATTACTCTAAGTAATCATCCTCACATTGTGATGGGTGTTGAACCGGCACTGCTCGATCTCTAATGGCATGACCAAAGATGATGAAGTTACTCTAAAACCACCCATCAATACTTGAAGATGATATATCTGGAACTGGTCGTGGGATACTTTGAACATAACCATGGTGTCGCAGACACCTCTCAGTCAAGTGTCTAGCAACCATGGTCTTCCATCGCATATAACCTGAATATAAAGAGGACTCCTCAAACTCACAGTGGATTTTATGACCAGTGTATGGTGTCCAGATGACATCATTTATAGTCAGTGCATTGAGCCTCTTCCTGTACTTAGCTACACCACCTCGATGTGCCTATCTGACCTTCCGATTCTTCGCTCGTGGGGCCCCCACCTCGCAATGTTGCACCTTCATATCACATATGGTTGGAAAATGTTTGTATATCCAGCACTGATATCAAAACAGAGATACAACAAATAATAAATATGAAATGTCGTTCATAACAGTTAAATAAGATATCAACAACAAATAATGATATCAAGTATACCTATAACAGACTCAAATAACCAGCAAGTTGTTTGGTCTCAAATATTGTCATTACTCCAAGGGTTGTATACAATTGGGTCAGCAGCACACCCCCGAGCCCAACAGGCGTCCTCGAGGCTACTTAAAAGGCACGCGTATCGGGCATCAATATAAACATCAGACTTATTCGCAAAGAGAGTACATGTTATTATATGTAGCATGTACGCCCTAGCGGCATCCTCATACCTCCTAGCACCTATAAGTTTATCGTATATCTTCTAAAGCCAAGAGATACGAAAGTGCGCGCACATGGTCTTACCAAAGTCTTTCAGAACCTCTGTCTCAGACAAACTCAAATCATGTGCCACAATCTGGCATGCAAGGGTCATGCTAAGAACGGGAGCCATCAGAAATCTACCGCCTATGGGGAGATGGAGCAATACGGAGACATCATCGAGAGTGATAGTCATCTCCTCGAACGGAAGCTAAAATGATGATGTCTCATTGTGCTACCTCTCAACAAATGTACAAAGTAATTGAGTTTTTAATATGGTGAGGGAGCAGTGGTAAAAGCAAACAGTTGGAAGTCGCGTATAACCCGACTAACCTACTCAGGCATCAGAATCTTTGAGAAGACTTTCATCTTTGACTCGTGCGATGTCACCTTCACTGTGGGTCGCTTATGTGACAACAAATTATAAACAAATTAATTGATGCATTATGTGACAGACATATATAAAAAAACTAGGGTTAAACATAAAAGACATATACCTCGCTTTGCCATAATCGTAAGGCTACATGTCCATCATACTTTGTGAGCATCGATTGGTCGATGGGTTTTCTTGGAAATCCTCCATCTGTGTGCATAGAGGGCTTAGTCGAAGGAGTCGTAACCTCCGTGTAAGCAGAAACTGATAGGACCGACTCACCACCAACAACAACCTCCTCCTCAACAACTAGATCAACATTCGGATCAACCATCAGATGCTCAACAAGATTAGATACGACAACATACGGCACCACCTCATCTGTAGGTTGCTATACTGATCGACTCGATCAGTGTCAAATGGAACGAGGTGTCCGGAACTGACCCCGCTCAGCCAACTGCTTCCGTTGTGAATCAGTTATAACCAATCATCCTGCCTATATATGGGAAGACTCATCATCAGTACCCCTGACAACTCTGCTATAATATGTCGCTTGATCCACAGCTCCCCCTGCAATAGTGTCGTCTCTCCCTCTAGATTTCACTTCAAAAGAAGAAAATTGTAAAATTTTAAAAATTGACAACTACCGAAAATATCAAAAATTTCGATACTAAACAAAATTATTTCACATACTAAAAATTTCAAAATTTTCGATACAAATCTCATTTTTTATGTCGGAAATTTCAAAATTTCTTATACAAAACAAATTTTTTATAACTATCAAAATTTTTGAAATTTTCAATAAAGAATGTGATTTGTACCGAAAATTTTAAACTTTCTTATATACATTTCAAATGAAATATTGAAAAATTTAAAATTCTTAATACATATTTCACTAAAAATACCAAAAATTTTAAAATAATTTTGTCTTTTCAAACGCTTTGGAGGATCAGGTTAAATCCTTATATACAACAAATTAACTTGTGAGTATGAGTCCAAGCATCCAAGGCTAAACATGAGACTTCTTTGTGAGTATGAGTCCAAAATTCAAGCTTGCAAAGCTAAGACATGAGACGTCTCTTATACTCTTACAAATAACATAGATTTACACCATGATATATTTGATTTGTTTTAGAACAAGTTTGCGCTATTCTTAACAATGAGCATACTTGAAAGAAGTGAGTCTCACTCTCTATGCAAATATTCCATCATTGTGAACAATCATGAAATATCTTAAAAAGTATAGGTTTGATTGCAATTTTGATCCTTCAGTTTTCATCTTTTGTTTAATTTTGATCCTTCTATTTTAAAATTCGGAATTTTTCCCCCTCCATTTCTAGTTTTTTCTAGTTTTGATCCCCTATTTTAAAATTCAAAATTTTGGTACTTCTATTTTCATTTTTTTATAGTTTTGGTCCCTTATTTTAAGTTTTGTTTTGCATTTTGGTCCCCCTTTCCAATTTGAAACAAATTTAATAGAAGACCAAAAGTTTAAAAAAATAAAAATAAAGAAATCAAAACTCAAAAAGAATGAAAATAGAGGGACAAAAATTCAAGATTTTAAAATAGGGAGATCAAAACTCAAAAAAACTAAAAAATAGAGGGACAAAAATTCCGAATCTTAAAATAGAAAAATTAAAACTCAAAAAAATAAATATAAGAGGACCAAAATTGCAATTAAGCCAAAAGTATAATTTGATCATGCTCCATCCTTATAACTTGAAGTTCTTGAAAAGAGACAGTGCTCCATCCTTATAACTTGTAGTTCTTGAAAACAGACAATTAGCATACTTTGTTCACACGCTGTGAATGTTGAGGGAAATGATGTTAAGGTCGTTCATGGTAAATATATTTTAAAAAGATAGACATTAGAAGCCTGTCTTGTTAAAGACTTGAGAGAGAAAGAGTTGGAAAGAGATTCAAAATCTATCACCCTAAAATTTACAAGCGTTTATAAACATATTGCAGTCCTAAACACTCACCTAGCATTTTATAAACATATTGCAACCAAACACCAGCCCGGCATGTTGTCAATTTTACAAGCATATTGTCTTAAATAAACAAGGACGGTGCAAAAAACAATGCCTGCATTGTCCTCGTACTCTCCAACTTAAAAATGTGTAGTGCTAATCGAACCAATGATGCGCAATGCCACTAAAGATCTCAACATTTGCTTCAATGTTAAATTGTGGGATTAATAAATCAAATGAAATCTAAAATGATAAGCAGTAATCAATAAACAAAGGCAAAGGCAAAGGCAAATGCGGGTACTTAAGATCCCGAAAATATAAGCTTTCATAGAAAATAGCCAATACAATAGAGAATACCATCTGGTTCTATTATGGTCTAAAACAAAAGATAAATTCTCAAAAACTGATGCAGAGATGACAACAATCTCTATCGAAATGAAACAAAAAGCTTTGTGACGACAAATTAGCTGACAACTCTGCTGATGAACTCGTAAATCTGTAACGAAATTTTCAATGTAAAATTAGGAAACATAAACACGATAAACATGATAACATAAAAATAAAACTGGCAAACATAAAACATGCAATTGTATCTCACTAATAAAAACGATATATGCATAAATCCATTGTTGTAGATGATGGTTTGCAAAAAATAGTAGCTTGTCCTAATCCCACTACACAGCAGTACTTCGACAGCACTATATCATATCTAACAACAATTTGAACATTCAGGTTTATAGTTTAACACAGAACATAATGATTAGTTCACATTCCACTATATGAACACCTCAACATTTACAGAACACATACTTAATTTACATTTATCATTACTTATAGCACATAGATTCAACTACAAAGAAATAACAAATCTATGTGGAAGTAACAATCACATAAAAAGGTTAACCAAAAAAATAAACAGTACAAATAAATCTGAAACACAGTTATAGATTTAAACAAACACCATGTCAATAAAACAAATTTCAAAAACATGCCTTAAAACATATATAATGTGACATAGAAAAAAAATAGAACATGTTCAATAAACATCATCAGTGGTGATTTTACCTCTCATATGTTACTTGGATACATGAACACTCTCACACGTGCACCCTGCAAATGAATCAAAACTCAAAAGTTACAGCTATATCGTAAAACAAATCAAAATAATAAAAAAGAAACACCAAATTCTATTACAAAATGATTACCATTGATTTAGGTGGAAGATTGGACTTGAACTTAGCACGAACAATACCACTGTTACCATGAGGTCTAGTAACCTTGCCCCATAAACAACGGTAATGGGTACCATTTTTCTTCACCTTAGCCTTATAGATATAGGCCATTTTCTTTCCAGCATACCACGCTACCTCTTCCTTGGTGTTCACTCCCTCGATTTGAATCAGTGATGTGTTTGGGTACTGGTTTGATTTGGATCTAAATCACACAAAAAACAGCATCATCATCAATAACATCAAACACAATAAAAAAATAATTTTTGAAATCTAAACACGAAAAATGGAAATGTTACCTCTTGTATCCAAGGATTGTACCCCTGACGTAAAGTCTAATTCAAATGAAACGAAGAAAGTGTGAAATTATGTTTAAAAATCGAAGAGAAGAGAATGAAATTGGGAGTTAGAAGAGTAGTAGTACCTGATGCGTTCTCCTTGGCGACCCTTCACCATGTTTGCTGATTGGTACCGCTGAAAGAACGATGCTGCTTAACCTAAATTCAGAGTGACGGTATTCTAGGGTTTTACAGTAAAGAAAGCATTGGTGTAGTAGATTGGGCTTTTATATGTAACCCAGCCCATGCATGGCCCAATAGGTTTCGGGTTATTATTTGTACCTTGTTTTTTTTGTAATACACCTTCTCTGCATATGAAAGTTACCATTTAATTATGCTATTGTTTTTCCGATTTTAATTTTATCACATTATTAGTCTCTTTATTTTTATTAGTTTTTTACAAAATTTCTCATGTTTTTTTTTGATAAAACGATATTTCAAAAATAATATTTAATATACATCTTATATATAAAAGTTTGTTAAGTCTCTTAATAATTTTTGGAAAAAATATTAAGAATATTTTTATAATTTCCTTATTTATTTATCAATTGTTTTATTTAAATATTTTATAGTTTTTAGTCTTGTATATTATATTCGAGATTCATTTTGGTCTCATGATTTTAAAAGGGGTAATCCAAACTTGTGCCCTTGAAATCCACTTGAAATCCACTTATAGTAAATTTGTATTGAAAAAAACAATTTAAAAATTAATTTTATGCTTTAATTAAAGTTTGTACACAATTTTCAAGATAATAATATTTCTTAATTTAGGTTTTAATTTGTATCCTTGTGGCACAAGTTAGCATTGCCCTTTTAAAAATAACCATATTAGTCTTTTAATTATACAAAAAATATCACGTTAGTCTTTTTCGTCAATTTCCTTTTACAAGAGTTAGATTTTTCCACGTGACATCTATGTTAGCTTCATTTTGCATCAATGTCACCAGTTCATCTTAATTTTCATTTTGCGTATTATATTTTATTGAAATAATTAAATATAAAGGTTTAAATTAAATTCACATTAATTTTTTTATTGAAAAAGATTCATCTTCAAACTTAAAACATTAAAAGTTTAACTATACAATTAACAAGACTTAGAATTCCAACAACATCGGCAAAAAAATAATAACACAATGTCAACAAAAATATCCTAACAATAACACTCTCGCTCAGCTTAACCGAAGCAACAACGAGCATGATGAGATCCATAAGGTTACCAGGCATACCAACTTCGGCTGGAACGTTGTTAATGAACTGCCAACTTATATTATCGTAGGCCTTTGCAAGGCTGACCTCGATAGCGAAGGAACCCATTTCACATTTGGATCTATGCATATTGTGCATAATTTCCCACGCCACGACAATGTTTTCATGAATACTACGATTGAACAAAGCATATGCAAACCTTCTTATTCAACTTTGAAGTGTATTCCTTTAATAACAGGCATAACCAACAAAGGTTTAGTGAGATCCACTTGTATGCACAACCTCGCATGTTTCCCCCCTTCTCTATATAAAGTGCTCTTGTCAACTTTTATGACTTTTCCTATCGTGTTGCTAATGAAAGTGAGCATGTGTTGGTCATAATACTCAATAGGGAGATCTGAAATTCTCACCTACACTGCAAGTTGATTCAATGTGTCTCTAGAAGGCCAAATATTAAGGCTTCATTCACACACTGTGAGGTAATTATCATAAATCAGCCAAGGGATTTCAAGAATAGTGAGTACTTAATTGATCTTCCTAACTGGTGAAGGTGACCAGGAAAATATCTTGTCCAAGGTCAATGGTCTTGAGAACCCCTTGTTTTGCCCACATGAGTTTCATACGATTTTCCAGCGACCTATAGCCAATGTTTTGCCCAAGCATCTTAATTATGACTAATTTTCCCCAGGGCTTGGCAATCATTCGTTCTTGCAAATCATAGATGACAAACTCGAGGCATTCATAACCACCGATCAAACATTCCTCCACCCTGATTTCATGAGATCCGTCTTCAAGATCTTGCATGTCAAGTTCTTCGTCTCTATTCAACCCCAATTTCCCAGAGGTCTCCCTAGTCACAATATTTTCATATGAGATTGTCGCAGTCTGTGTAGTATTGACAGAAGAATCTTCTATTCCAACAAAATATGAGATTAAATCTTCGTTATCCCAAACCTTGTTGGAGACGTAATTCGGAATATCATTCTCTTGCATGTTCGAGATTGCGAGAGCAAACCCTAAAGATGACGATGTAGTTATGAGCTCACCGAATAAGCAAAAACGAGGAAGACGAATAGACCCAATAGACCAAAGAAACAGCTTGATTTAACACTCCTCCTTAAGAATCCCTATTGATCAGCTCCCTAATCCTAGGACGAGTTTAAACCAAGATCATATGAAACATCATATAAGAGTTCAAATCTTGTTGTAAAGAAACAAAGATGTTACCAGGAATCGTCTTATATCGCGCATGTAAACATATAGCACCATATCAGGTGACATCTGTCAGACTGCCACTGTGTTAGAAATAGCCAGCCACTGCGCTGGAAATCGCTTAAAATCCTAACAGAGCTAAAAAAAATGTTTTTTTAAATGTACCAAAAATGAAAAAATGTGAGTATATATCATCATGCATTAGTTAATTTCTACCACCTCGTCCAATTTGATTTTGTTTGGCTCGACTTTTTTATGCTCAAAAATTTGTTTTTAGAATTAAGTTATAAGTAATAGCTTTAGAAATAAAGTTAAAGTTAGTTTAGAAGTTTTTCTTTTTTGATTTTTTCAAAGCAACTTTTAAACTAAAAGTTGTTCGGTAAATTGTTTCAATAAAAATTTGATAAAATTATAATGAATTAAAATAACAACTAAAAGTTATTTAAATATTAAAAAATGATTAAAAATTTATATTTATTCAAAACCTTTTATTTGTTATACCATGAATACGAGTTGATAATTATTATATATAAATATTTTACTAAGAAAAATAATTTAAAGAGACTTAAATAATATCAAAAGACTTCACAAATTATACAAGACTGAAAACATAAATCATGGAAAAAATTCTCATACATTTATAATTTCCATCAGTGCAATATCTATTATATTTCTATTTATATTCGTGTAACCTCCGTGTTATACTCTTTTTAAATTATATAAGCCTACATTTTCATTTATATTTATTTCTTCTTCATAATCAGTCATATACTAAGAGGTATAGTTATATTTATTAAATTTTCAATCTTCAACATCACATATTCGAATAAAGTTACCAAGTATTTGTTGCAAGTAATGGTTGAGCCATAACCCTAAAGCAGGGGTGCAAGATTTTAATTTTCTTTTTTTTTTTTTGACAAAATATAATCTTTTCACGTTGGAAGTAAAATTTGTTGGGAGTAAATTAAAACAATTTTGAACTTAAAATATATCTAAGTGTGCTAAATATTTGGTTTATACAACCAAAATTGGAAAATTTTACCCAACACCCTGCATTTATATTCATACATTTACATTTTAAAAAAATATTCATTTTATTCTTATATATTTTAATATTTTATTATTTTTTTCACTTTTTATATTTTTAAGTCTTCTGAAAAAATTCATCCCACGATCTATCGGAACACTTTGAAAATGACTTATGGTAGGCATTTTTTCTCAAACCGGAAGACTTGGACAAAGAGTTTCGGTTCACAAAAATACTTTACCGGAAGACTTTAGGAAAGACTTCCGGTTTGTTAATTTTCGTGAATGTTCACCGGAAGACTTGTAAAAAGTCTTCCGGTTTGTTTTTTAGCTACCGGAACACTTGCTACAAGTCTTCCGGTTTGTTTTTTAGCTACCGGAACACTTGTAGTAAGTGTTCCGGTTTGAGTTTTTTTTTTTGAATTTTTGAATTTTTTTTATGTAATTATTTCAGAAATTCCTTTACAAATATGCGATAAAGATCAGATATCCGTAGATACGTTTCTGATGTTTTTTCAACAACTCAGAGATTCGGTACACGAGAAGAGGTTTCAGACATTCCTTTACAAATATGCGATAAAGATCAGATATGCGTAGATACGTCTGATGTTTTTTCAACAACTCAAAGAGTTGGTACACGAGAAGAGGTAATAAGATGGATTAAAGAGATCGGAATCCGAAATAAAGTTACGGTTATCATCACTCGTTCAGATATTAAAACAGGCAAGAGAGGAAGAAGTAACAAATTAATATTTGGATGTGATAAAGGAGGAAAACACAGAGATATTGGTAGTGGAACCCAGAGTGCGACGAAAAAATGTGGATGTCCATTTAGAATCAGATCGATTCGAGCGGCTGATGGATCTGGATGGAAGATTGATGTAAAATGTGGAGTTCATAACCATGGTTTACCTGATAGATTAGAAGGTCACGCATTTGTCGGTAGGTTGACAGCTGATCAGAAGCAACATGTTGTTGATTTGACAAAGAGAAAGGTTCCATCTAGACATATATTGCTTTCATTGCAAGAGCAAGATCCAGATAATGTCACTCGGATCACGCAAATATACAAACAGAAAAGTATGATAGAAAAAAAATATAAGAGGTCCTAGAAGTGAGATACAACATTTGTTTAAGCTTATTGAGGAAGCGGGTTATGTTTATTGGAGTAGAAAAAAAGATGACTCTGAAGTAATTAGAGATACCTTTTGGGCTCATCCAGATTCAATTAAGTTGTTGAATATTTTTCCTATTGTGCTAGTCATGGACAACACTTACAAGACAAACAAATATAGGCAACCTTTGTTTGAAATAGTTGGCATGACATCAACCGAGTTGACTTTTGCTGTCGCATTTGCCTATATTGAGTCTGAGCAAACTGAGACTTTTTGTTGGGTGCTAGATAAGCTTAAACAATTGTTTGTGAAGAAAGAGTTGTGTCCACAAGTGATTTTGACAGATAGAGATCTTGCTTTGATGAAAGCCATTGAAATTGTGTTTCCAAGGTCGATCAATATGCTATGTCGATTTCATATTAACAAGAATGTTGGTGCAAAACGGAAACAATATGTGGCTAGTGACATGCAAAAGAAAATTGACGAGTTATGGACGGATGTTGTATGGGCTAGTGATGAGGTTGAGTATGATCAAAGGTTGAGCCAACTTGAGCAGGCG